TATTTATCAATGTGCTTGACAAAGCAAAGTTTGAAGTATTTCGAGGAGCTCTTGGTATTGTCGACAATAAGTTTGCACTACGGGAGAGTGTTGCAAATTAGTGAAACTTACAACTGTCATATCTTGGAAGTTAGAAGCTGTTGAATTAGTTTTGTTGAATGAGTCTAGTTTGTTTTAAGCATTCCATTTATTTAGGAATACTGATTGTCTTCCTTTTATTTAGGCTAATAATCTCATACACACGTTGGTGTTGGTTGAGATCTTTTAGGAAAACTTTTAGTATTTATAATCTATGTAATCCTAGTTTTGCTTTAGTTCTTCATTGAGTAATAAAATCAAACACGTGGTAGGCAACCAAGCTCTGATACCATATGCATTTTTATTATATTAGTATAATTCTTCAGTCACAATAAGTTTTCTAAGTTGTACTAAGATTTTATATAAAAAAAAGATATTGTATTATATTTTTAGGTAAACTTGAATTATTTAAAATTTTAAAATACTTGCTAATATATATTATAGAGTAGTATATTATATCTTATGTCAATTGACCTAAGTAATTCATAATTACAGTAAGGTTCTAATTTGATTAGTATATTTATAATTACTTTTATTTTATTAAATGAATTATAAGTGGAATCCTAATCAAATGAATTTTAAAAAATTTAATTTCTCAAACATCACTAAAAAATCAATTTCAATCATAAAATTCTAAAAAAATAGGACACTAACTATTTTTTTTTTATAATTAGAACAAAGAATTTTGACAACAAACAAATTTTTCATAATCTTATAATATAATATGGGCAATAAATGTTAAATTTGGTAAATTTGAGATGATATTTAATTCAGATACATGTATATTTAATATATTTTATAATTTTTGTGTGCAAACATTATTCACGTATAACACATGCGATGCATTGCAGCATTTCTAAGGGTGCTCTTCAAAATAGTTAGTTAAAGGAAAATGCTTTTTGGATCTGATTTAGGAATTTAATGATGTACAACCATTGGGTTGATTGTAGGCTCCATCTAATATTGGAACTTACAATTAATCCAATAGTTGTATTGAAGTCACATCATTATGTTCCCAAAATAAGGTCTCTATAGAATTGCTCTAGTTAAAATATATTAAAATTATTAATTATCCATGCTTGAAGACATTATGTTACTTATAAAAAATTATAAATATTTGTTCATAAATAAAGATAATATATAATACAATTTGAACAATACAACGATTAAATTGATATTGGACAACTTATATGTAGAACATATATAATCAAATTTTTATATAACGAAAGTCACGCTACAACTACTATAACATATTAATTAAAAATATGAGAAAATATAATTATTATTGATCAAACATTCACGATTTTAACATTTTGAAAAAAATTTATCTCAAATTTTAAAAAATTATAACTATTTGTGTTTCCGCAGGTTTCTACCTAAAGTTCATAACATTATCTTTGCACAATTTTTTTTAATGTGAGTTGTGTAACTATTGTGAGGAAAACATTCAAAATTTCGTGTGAATTCTCGTAAATGTAAAATTTTTTATTGAGAAATAAAAATCAATTTTCATTTTAGTTCAACTTAAATATTCGTAAAATTCAATCAAATTTAAATTCAAATAAGAATTTATATTTTATACTTGACAGTCAAATTCACCTCAATTTGAGTTTTAATCATAATTACATCAAATCAAGAATTAAATTTAAGTTCGACTTAATTAACACTTCTATCTTAACGTACAAAACTAATTCTTATTTATTCTTGTTTACAGTGACACCATAATTTTTTAAATTTAATTATTCTTTATTATTTTTACAATCAAGTTTAATTTGACTTCAACTTTGAATATTCATAAAATTCAAGCAAAGTTAAGTTTAAGCAAAAATATATGTTCTATACTCGACAATCAAATTCAGTTCAATTTGAATTCTAATCATAATTATTTCGAACTGATAATTGAGTCAAATGAAAGAATTCTTGTAATTTTTTGGCAGGAAAAAAATTTGGAAGAATAGTTTTGATTAATTGATCAATAATCTTAAAACAATCTGATCTGCAAAAAGTTTAAGATAAAAGTGCTAACTCCCTTGGTGTGTGTATATATATATATATATTATTTTCTTATTATAGTATTCGAATATTATAGTATTTTTATTTCAATACAAAATATGACATATATTATAATCATTCAACTCGTTTTGATGCAAATAATTTGTATTTAAAATCCATTTGTTTATTTGAAAATTTTAAAAATAATTCTTAATCATATAGAATCATAATTAATGATCTAATTAATGTGTAGTATGAGATAGAAAAAGAAAGAGAGAGTTATAAGATAGATAGAAGCCTTAGAATTATGGAAGGAATGAAAGTCTTGTTCAAAAAATTGGGAAAGCAAATTTCGCATTAAGACAATTGGATCAATAATCATCAAGCGATCTGAGTCACAAAATGTTCAAGACAAATTTTCTAACTACTTTATTATATAGATATGATATTCTTTATTTTAAAAAGTCACTTTTACAAAGTTAATCTCTAACCATACTCTTTATTTTAATTAATTACTATTAATATTGTAAGTCAAAAATATTGCATAATTTAACACGTCATCAAAATATAAAATAGTCGGTCACTGAAATATAAAAAAGAGTGATTTGACTATCTAAATATAAAATAACTAGCCCAAAAAACTCTCTACATGTAAAAAGCTATTTGTCCCAAAAATAAAATAACTAGTTAAATAGCTAACCCTTGAAATAAAATTTTGTGATTTAGTTCTTTATTTTAAGTAGCAGGTATAAAATACCTAACCTTGGACATGCTATAATATAAGTAAAGGTCCTGTTTATACATTTTGTGTTTTTTTTTTTTCTTACAGCTTCTAGGCTGATGTAGTGATCGCCAGGCCAGCAAAGCAATGACATCACTTCCATTATTGATCCACAAGCAAGCATGTGCCTCCACAAAAGGCCACACAGTGGAGTTGCCGCTAGCCACGCTTGACCTCACCTCCTCCATGCTTATCGGCTAATATTTATATTTTAAATAATAATTTATTTTTTTAATTATGTAATTTAATTTTTAAAAAATAAAAAATAAAATGTAAGATAAAAAAAAAGTAAGTACGAATTAAAGAGATTATTTGGTACAGAAGAATATGCTGGTAGAATTGTTTGAAGTTGGGGACTGCATAAAAAAAAAAAAAAAATTTGAGTGAAATTTTTTTTGTATCATTAAATTAAATCAAAATACATTTTTTTTTTTTGCAATTTTTTTAAACAGTGAAGTTCAAACCCGCAACTTAATAATCTAACAGTACTACAATGGCCATTAGGCTAACGAGTGATCCTCCAAAATCAAAATACATTAACATTGGATACAATTTGCTATTATTATTGCATGGGAGAATTCTTACAATATATTGAGATAGCGATCCACTCGTTGATGAACCTAAAACAACTAAAAAGGAACCGGGTGAACACTCGATTTATTTTCTCCAAAACGTAAGTCAGTGTAAGATTAGAAAGCTTGAGCACAATGTATTATTTAACTCATTTAGTTTTGCGTACATTCTTTCACTTTTTTGGAGAGTATTTATATTTGAATTAACAATGAATGCAAGTACAAGTAATTACATTTGAACATTTATTGACTTACATCCTTCTTAATGCGTAATAAATGTCTTTTGCTCAGATTCCTCTCCCTTTAATGATTTGGTGACAAGACAAGTGCCAAGGACTACGCTGAGCACTTATAGTTATTCTTGGGGCAATCAAGTTCCTCTGATCAGCAGTTGACACCTACTCTCGAACCTTTATTGTGGGCAGAAGAGTAACTCGGTGTGCTACGAGGGAACATACTCCGTGCGATAGCCATTAATGTTTTGCCATCATGATTGTGCTTTTGGGTCTCGAGGATGCAAGGGTTTATTAATAGCCCTATCCTAGTTACTCACATTCCATTAATGAGCTGTCATGTCTTCTTAAATGTTGGTGCCAGTTTATGTACTCGGCTCTTCTGAGCCATTACTTCTCGACCCCAAATCTCGACGTCTTTTGAGCTGCCTAACGGCTACATCTTTACGCGTGTCAAACTAGAGGTTATTGAGCCGCCTAAAGTCTTGTCAACTATATTATTACAAGTTAACCCAAAGAGATAGTTCAAGTGGTAATGGTTTGAATCTTAACAAATTTTTAGGATCAAGTTATGAGAAATTTATCATTAATAAATATTTTAAAAAAATTTAACCACACTTATTCTAATTTATCATATCTTCAAAGATACTTACTCTATTTTTTAAATCTTCATTAACACTCTTGGTGAGAGTAAAAGTGTTAATTATAATGTAATTTTACTAAATTGTCCATAATATAGGCATATCTTAAATAAGAACTCTTCTTTTTTTTAAATTTTTTTACGTATTAAAATTCAAGTCAATTAAAATTTAATTTGAGCTAATTAAAATTATTTTTTACGTATTAAAATTTGAGCTAATTAAAATTTATTCGAGTTGATTAAAAAATATTTAATCGGTTCAAATCAAATTTTAATTAACTCGCATTAAATTTTAATCAGTCTTAATTTTGATACATAAAAAATATAAATTTTAATTGACAAAAATTTAATACTTAAAATATAAATTTTAATTGGCTCGAAGTGTATTTTAATCGACACTAACATTTCAGGTAGAACTCAAATCAACTTGAATTAATATGTAAAAAAAAATATAATATGTTCGAATTTTAATACGTACAAAAATTAAAATTTAATAATCTTGAATTGAATTTTATTAGTTCAAATTTTAATATGTAGAAAAATAAATTTTAATCAACTCTAATTTTAATATATAAAAAAATAAATTTTAATCGATTAAAAGTTTATATAGAATGATTGTTTAGTGGTTATATAGGGGTATTTTTAGTTTTTTAGATTATTTTTTATATTAGAAATTGTAGTTTAGTGGCAATGACTGATATTTAAATATAAATTAAAAGAAGTGCTAATAATTTTTTTGATAATAAAAAAGATATTTTTAAAAATATAATAAATTAAAAAAATGTAACTATAATTTTCCTTAAATATCTTGGATGACATGGATGATCTACTGTACTAGAGCCTAGAGATGACCAGCTTTCTAGAAGTTTGTAATTCGAGGCGAGACCTACTAAACTACAATATTCAAACAATTGTTGACCGGATGACTGTCTAATGAGTTCCTTTGCAGTGCAAGTTGAGATTTTTTGTGTAGTTGTTCTTGTTGTGGCTGCTAACGAACAAAAAAAAGTTTACAATTCGTACTTTTATAAAAAAAAATTAATATTATTTAAATTTAAAATTTTGACTTAATTCCTGTGCTTCAATAGAATCGATATAAAATTTTAATATTTAATAAATTCTATAATTAATTTTTATTAAATCATTAAATCAACACAAAATTTTATTATACAATAAATTCTACAGTTAATCCTTTGATCAATAAATTAGGTCTCGTAACGTCGTTCTAAAGAAAAACTTAACCTTGCGCGGAGACTATAACAAAATAGACTCCATATTCCGAACACTCAAACAGAGATGAAGAACGCAGAGTTAGTGTTCATACCTTCTCCGGGAGTGGGCCACCTTTTATCGACTGTGGAGATCGCCAAACTCCTCCTTAATCGAGATCATCGACTGTCCATCACCGTCCTCATCATGAAACTTCCCATTGACTCCGGCGTCGACGGCTACATCAATTCACTCTCTGCCACCGCCACGCCACGATTACGCTTCGTGGACCTCCACCTCCCTCAAGGCGATTCAGCTTCACAGCCACAGGACCCTTCCTCGAAGTCCAAGTCCCCCCTCACCTTCTTCGCAAACTTCATCGACAGTCACAAGGCTCCTGTGAGAGACGTAGTCGCCGAACTCACTCGCTCCGACTCATCGTCTCGACTCGCCGGGTTCATCATCGATATGTTCTGCACCGCCATGATCGATGTGGCGAACGAGTTCGGGGTTCCAACCTACGCTTTTTTCACGTCGGGTGCCGCCTTTCTTGGCCTGCAGCTCCATCTTCAATCTCTCAGTGACGATCACCACCAGGATATTACTGAGTTGAAGAACACGGAAACCGAGTTGAGAATACCGAGTTTCAAAAACCCAGTTCCGGTCAGGGTTTTGCCTTCTGTGGTGGTTGATAAAGAAGGTGGGTCCACTATGTTGATAACTCTCGCCAGAAGGCTGAGAGAAACAAAGGGCATTATGGTCAATACATTCATGGAGTTGGAATCGTATGCGGTTGAGTACTTCTTGAACAGTGACAATACCCCACCAATCTTTTCGGTGGGGCCCATTCTCAACCTCGGTGACGGTGGTGATGATATTCGCACCGAGCAATCAAGACCAATCATGGAGTGGTTGGACCACCAGCCTCCATCATCGGTTGTGTTCCTGTGCTTCGGCAGCAAGGGATGCTTCGAAGAGGACCAGGTGAAGGAGATAGCTCAAGCCCTCGAGAACAGTGGCCACCGGTTCTTGTGGTCGCTCCGGCGGCCTCCGCCGAAGGAGAAGATGCAGTTTCCGAGCGACTATGAAAACCCAGGCGAAGTCCTGCCGGAAGGGTTCCTAGAACGTACGTCCGAAGTCGGGAAAGTGATCGGATGGGCCCCACAAGTGGCGGTGCTATCCCACCCGGCGACCGGAGGTTTCGTGTCTCACTGCGGGTGGAATTCGACGCTGGAGAGCGTGTGGTGCGGCGTTCCCATGGCGACTTGGCCACTGTACGCAGAGCAGCAGATGAATGCGTTCGAGATGGTGACGGAGCTGGAAATGGCGGTGGAGATTAAGATGGACTATTTCAAGGGCTTCCAGGATAAGAAGCCAGAAATCTTGAGCGCTGATCTAATAGAGGGTGGAATAAGGCGATTGATGATGGGTGGTGAGAGTGAAATTAGGAAGAAGGTTAAGGAGATGAGAGAGAAAAGTGGGGTGGCCATGGCGGAGGGTGGGTCATCGTACAATACAATAGGAAGATTGATTGAGGAGGTCATGAACAGCATTGCCTGAGGCTCCGTTTGGTTAGCGAGAGAATGGTGGAAAAAGGTGAAAAGAGAAAAAAAAAAAAAAAAAAAATCTGCCGTTTGTTTAGCAGAAAGGAATTCCCGCAACAGCGGATTTTCTTGTATTCGGTAGTTTTTGATTTCCCACAAAATCTGCACGAAATTTTTTTTTTCGTGAAACAGGTCACTGTTTACCAGTCTGCCCCTATTTGTAGCACACCACAGCTCCTTTCGGCACTTATCTTCTCAGTCAACTCTTGAACGAAGACTGCCTCTCGTAACTCAACTTCTCAGCCGACTGCTCAGCAAACTTTTTTTGTTTGGTACCCCACTCAACCAACTGATAAGAAAGTGTTTCTTCCATCTTCAATTGCTCGATGTACTAAAATTGCTACGTATTGTAATTTTTTCCCCTTTTTTCTCTGATTTTTTTTTTTTATTGATTGTTGGGTTAAATGTTTTATTTGATTATGATTCAAGACATGAGGTAGACCAGGTGTTTGATAAAATGTCTCAACTAACATGTTTGTGTACATGTGCATATTTCTGTCTCTATCTTGCTTGGTTTGTTATTCTGCACAATTTTTTTTTTGATAAGAGTAGGACCCATCTTAAAAGGAATGCCCCAGACAGTCAAACAAATCCAATCAAATTCCCCTTTACAAACTTTTGTGATGGCCAACATGAAGCACAGATGCATCGAATCACACAAACATATCCCCCCCACCCCCAAAACAAACACATACTCTATTTTTTTTCATTGCTTTCAGCCTTTTCAAGGACACAAGAAAGCATCCCAAGCACACCCATCAAAAGCTTGGGTTGCAAGAGATATTATAACATCAAAAAGAAATAAAAGAAAGATTGAAAGTAATGAAACAAATTGAACAAATAATAAAAAAACCAAGAAGACTGACTGTAGTGAATGCAGCTTTCAAGTTCCATCTTCAATGCCTGTTGTACTTGGAAAAAAAATCAGCTCTTTATGTAACCCAAAGCCCTGCTTTTATTTCTCTTCCCCCTCTTCTTTTCCTCCTTTCTTTGGCAATGTTGATTATGAGACACCCAATCAATGGCATATGCAAATTCCAAAATTTTAAGCCTCTTTCGTTTGGCAGAATTTTCAATAACATTGGGCATTCTCATTTGTATTGGTGACAAAATTGGGGATATCATATGGCTAGGTAATTTAATTTTCTCGATGTTTCCGCATTCGAGTATAACAATAAAACACATCCTCAATTTCAAGAAATCCACTTGAAAACAAGGCATTAATGTTGACCTCTAAAGACTGTCTTGTTAATTTCTGATCCAATGCCACCAATACAGTAGCCACTGCTATATCAGATGGTCTATGCTCCATTAAATTGGAATCATCTCTCATTGTAGCCAAGATAGTTCCCACGGTTGTAGACCCAATGTTTTCTTGAGGGAGATGTTGGTTTATTTTTATGGAGTCTAGTTTGTATATGTGATCCAGATAATGACCCGACCCGAAATAATGTTGTATGGTTTTTAATGGAAAATTTTCTGAGGCTTAGTCCATGGAGCGAAGGCTTGGGCCGATAGGCCCAAGCCGTAGCGCTCATGGACAAGCCTCGTGGGGGTTCGGGGGCAACGCTCCCGAGGAAAATTTTTTTGGGCCCGTTATACAGCCCAGTGCGTAGGACATATAAACCCTGTTGTTTTGGTGATTAGGGTTAATTGTGGATGGTACAGCCACTCTCTGTATTCAACTCTCTCAATAGTGAAATCCCTGCAGCTTCGTGGACGTAGGCAAATTGCCGAACCACGTAAAATCTGTGTCTTGTTCTTTCTTGTTTCTTATTGCTTTATATTCTTGATTTGTTCTTCGATTGTGTGTGTTTGTTAGTGAATTTAAATCGTGAGAAATCCCAACAGAGAGTCCTTGCACAACTTAGTGATGAAGTAATGAATATAAGCAAAAGGAGTAACAAAGCCCATCCTCCATTCCAATGTATTCAATACCAGAAGATCCATTCTCTGTATTACTTTGCTTTCAAAATTGCGCACATAGTTTTTTTTTTTGGCATTGCTAGCATACGAATTTATTACTTAATCAGCATTATCTCCACTCTTGTACAAACATATTTTGTGAAGCTTTCCAACTAATTTTAGATTGTGTGATATTTATCTGGTAGTTATATTATTTCAAAAGAAAACTTAGAGTTTGACCAACTTATAGTTTATATACTTAATCCCTAGTATATGTTACACCTATATATAGGTTCTAGATACATACTAAAGATTAAATTTTTTTAGTTTCAAAACTTGACCCATTATAAAGAAATGAATCACAAATTATAACCTTCGGTCAATGAGCTTTTACATATAAACTTCACTCATGATCAAGAAGGATAGATCATAAAAACTTCACTCATGATCATATGTACAGTTACACCTAATGTGGATATCTTATTTAAATAAAATGTTAAGAGTTTATTGTGCTTTTTTTTTTTTTTTTGAATTGGATTTTGCTTTTTCATTTATATGTCTATATTTTTCATTTGCATTTTTAATGACATGTTCTTATTTGTGATGTTCTTAATATTCAATGTTGAAGATGGATAACAATGATGATGATGATAAAGAGATTATTCTTCTTTATGCACAATTTGTTGGTGTTATGGCTGTTATGTATGGTGTTTATTACTTGGAACAATATGATGAGAAGTCACAACACAATTGTTATCTGACACAACGCGAATTTGTATGGGATGTGACACAACGTGATGAACATTGTCATAATCTATTAAGAATGAATGTGGAGGCTTTCCAAAGATTTGTATACATTATTAAAGGTACTGGAAGGCTAAAGGATACCGACTGTAGTGTTGAAGAACAGTTAACAATGTTTTTGTATATAATATCGTACAATCTCAAGAATCGAAGTGCAAAATTGCCACTTTAAGAGGTCTGGTGAAATTATATCTCAATTGAAGTTGGAATTTTCCCCCCTATTGAGTTCTTGTGTAGTCTCAATTCCTTCAGAGATGTAGCTCCCCCAATTTCCAAAGGAATGCTCTCAAGCAACCGATTCTCTCTTAAATCCAGAATATCCAAGGCCTTCAATTCTCCAATACTTGATGGGATACCACCTGTTAGTGAATTCCTAGACAAATTTAAGAATTGCAAGCTGCTAAAATCCCCAACAGAAGATGGAATTTCACCAGATAGCGCATTGTGGGATATATCCAAAACGTGAAGCTTTATAAGCGAGTTTCAATTGATGAAGCAAAAGCCCCATCTCGTCCCATTCTCCGAAAACAGAACTTTCTGTAAACCCAATTTAAATAGCTAAGAAGGAACATTACCAGTCAACAAATTCTGACTTGCATCCAAAGGGAGTAGGTTTTCGCAATTGATCATAGATTCTGGCAAGCTTCCAGTAAAAGCATTCATGGAAATGTTTAGTACCTTCAAGGACTTAAGCTTCCCAATTGAATTTGGAAACTGGCCGGAGAAGCTATTTTCAGAAAGATCCAGAGTCTCTAGGCTTCTCATTTCTCCAATCCATTGAGGAACTTCACCCATAAACGAATTTTTTCGCAAATTTAGATCATTACACAATTTAAGCTTCTGCATGGTATTGGGAAGGCTCCCAGAAAGTAAATTCTCACTCAAATCAACTGATCTCAACAGCAAAAACCCTCCAATCCCATCCGGAATCTGTCCTGTAAACTGGTTTTTCCTCAAATTTATTGTTCTCAAGTTGTTTGAACCTTCAAGACCCTTGGGCATCTCACCCTCTAGCAAACTATCAAACAAATCAAGCGATCTAAGACCATGTGAAGACCAGATCCCAGAAGGCAACAAACCCGAAAACTGATTGGAGGAAAAGTTAACTGAAGCAAGGGTTGGACATGAGCTCAAATTTTCTGAAATTTGGCCGGAAAACTTGTTATTGGCCAAAGATATAGACCTTAATGACCCACATTGTGTGAAAAAGTCATCCGGGACAGTTCCAGATAGACTGTTCTCACTCAAGTCTATGACCCTTAGGTTTGTGAGTTGTGCAAGACTGAGGCTTATGCTTCCTGTAAGATTGTTCTTAGCAAGCGAAAGCTTTCGGAGAAAGTGCAGTTGGAGGAGACCTCGGCCTATTTTTCCCGATAGTGAGAACCCATCGAAGACCCTGTTGGATCTTGGATTGCATTTGACTCCATTCAAATTACAAGGACTATCATCCTCTTCATTCCAAGACACCAATCTTCCTTCTGGATCTTGAATGTCAGCTTTGAACACAATCAACCCCAGAACATCATCATTCAAAGAAGGATTCAAAGATCTCGCCAAAATCGGAGCTAAGAACAACAAAGCTAAAGCACCGAACAGCCTTTTCATATTTCCAATCCTCAAATGCCCTTCTTATGCTTCCATATAAAAGCTTAAAACCCAGAAAAGCAAACGAAATATAGAGTCTATAAGTGAATGTATCTAAGTGAAAGCAAATAGTAATGGAGTCTAAATGGTTCCAATCATGATGGAACTGTGGAACAAAGGCTCCTGTTCTAGAGAGAATTGAGAGAGTTTCGTGACTATAATTTTGCAAAGGACTTCACACGGTTGGTTTAGCAACAAACTCGAGTAAGATAAACCAATCCTAGTGAAAATACAGGCGAACCGAACTTAAGAGACAACCTACCAACTTCAACTATCCTGATCACTGATTTTGAACTTTTTCCAGCCCTCAAACCAAAAAATCACTGTATACCAACTGATGAGCCCAAAATCAATAGGGCCAAACTCAATGGATTAATAAGGCTCAAACCACCAGCGCCCAAAGGAGCCGCCCAAGCCCTTGGCGCCGCCCATAGGGACCCTCCTGGCTCTCCTTCATTCCACGCTCTCCCTTCCTCATATGGGCGCCGCCTCTATGGTCTCCCTTCTCACTTTGCCATTTCGATTCAGTTTCGGATCCAAGAAGCCCGAAGGAATAGGAGCACATGGGAGAGAATATCGGGATACACATTCATGGAGATCTAATTCTACCTTAATTGTACTTACTAAAAAGTAGTGACCGCCTCACCTCACCACTTCACCATACCTATATAATGTAAGCCCTCTTCACATAGAGGGCATGACCTTGAGATCCCTACACACATTGAGATACCTATATATTTTGGATGAAAACGATTGTGGTCATTAGATTATTAATATGATCCCAGCGTTGAATTAATCCAAAATCAATCCTATGATTACAATATATTAATTCCTTAAATTATATTTCAATACTATTTGTGTTTGTTTCATAATATATACCATCTATTTTAACAATAATACATTTATATAATTAGTGATTTAATTTGAGAATCTAATGTGTTATGACTAAATTTTATTTAATATTGAACCAACCACCAATCAGATAGAGAGAGGTCACACAATTCATTAAATCTCAATTCCAATGCCTCTATGAAGATCAAGTTGATAAATAGAACAACCACCAATGAGATAGCCACCCTTATTAATGAAAGATAGAGATAGGGCCCATCTACCAATATGGTCAAGCCATTCGAAAGATCAATCAATTGGAATTTTCTAAAAGTCTAATAAAAAAAATACACAGCTCGTTAATCTCATTTTATAATTAAAGGGTCAATTACATTAGAAGTCCCCAAAGTATGATATTTGTCTCATTTTGGTCTCTAATGTTTCAATTTCATCATATTGAATATGTTTCTATATAGTTCTTCAACCAGACAACGTTCAGATTGCTAACGATTTTTATCATAAATTTGTCAGATAATAGCTAAATATGGACAAAAAAAATAATTTTGATAGCTTTTAAACAAAATTTGGGTAGCTCTTGACGAAGTAATGTGCAATAAGGGTAGCTTTTGACCAAAATTTAAATAGCTCATGATTAAAATTGTATAATTTAGATAGGTATTTAACCAAAATTTGAGTTTTGGTTAAAAGTTATTTAAATTATTTTTTTGTCTATATTGAAGTATCATGTGATAAGTTTATGATAAAAAATTATTTACAATCTGGACACTGTTTGCTTGAGAGACCATATAGAAACATATGAAATACTTAAGAGACCAAAATAATACAATTGAAACATTAGAGACTAAAATGAGATAAACTACATATTTTGAAGACATTTAGTGCGATTAACCCTAAAATAAAAGCTCTAGTAGATATATAGACTCAATTATCTACCTAGTTTTTATTAATTTTTGAAAGCTAATAAGGGAAATCAAAAGTTTTTTTTTTTTTTTTAAACTTCTTGACATTTAGAAGCAGTATAAATATAGATAAAACCAAACAACATTAAAAATTGATATAATTTCATTTATTTTGATCCAATTATATAAAATTTATCCCAATTTTTTTAATCGCTCAAAACATCATTTCTTTACATAACCCCGAATATTCGATAATTGCACTAATTTATAAAATTAATATTTAATTTTTATATTATAAAATATATTTAGGTACAAGATTATTGTCAATAATATATATTCATTTAAAATTAAATATCTAAATTACCATTCTATATTTATATACTTAAATCTCCAAATTATTTATAATATCTCTTCTAATTATCTATTCTCTATGCATAAATATAAGTTTCTATAAAAATAATTGGTTAAATATATTACCTTTAAAAAAATATGTGTCATTATATATTAATAAAGTATTCAAAAAAAATTTAAAAAATCTATCAATCAAATATTACTCATATCATATGCAAATGTAGACTATGCCTACATATGTGTATTTTTTTTATCAAAACATTAAACCCTTTCATTTTTAAGATAAAAAATAATCTTATAAATAGTTTTTTAAAATTAATATATGTTACATTAGTATAATTCTTCAGTTACAATAAGTTTTCTAAGTTGTACTAAGATTTTATATAAAAAATAGATATTGAAGTATATTTTTAGGTAAAACTTGAATTATTTAAAATTTTAAAATACTTGCTAATATATATTATAGAGTAGTATATTATATCTTATGTTCTAATGTGATTAGAATATTTATAATTTATTTTATTTTATTAAATGAATTATAAGTGGAATTCTAATCAAATGAATTTTAAAAAATTTAATTTCTCAAACATCACTAAAAAATCAATTTCAATCAAAAAATTCTAAAAAAATAGGACTCTAACTATTTTTTATTTTTTTTATAGTTAGAACAAAGAATTTTGACAACAGACAAAATTTTCATAATCTTATAATATAATATAGGCAATAAAAGTTAAATTTGATAAATTCAAGCAGATATTTAATTCAGATACATGTATGTTTAATATATTTTAAAAATTTGTGTGTACAAAAATTATTCATGTATAACACATGCGGTGCATTGCAGCATTTACAAGGGTGCTCTTCAAAATAGTTAGTTAAAAGGAAAATACTATTTTGACATGATTTAGGGACTTAATGATGTACAACCATTGGGTTGGTTGTAGACTTCATCTAATGTTGAAACTCACAACTTATCCAATAGTTGTATTGAAGTCACATGATTATATTCCCAAAATAAGGTCTCTATAGAATTGCTCTAGTTAAAATATATTAAAACTATCAGTAATGTTACACTGACCAAATTTTGTGATCAAATCAAGAGTCCAAATGACATGGCACCTGACTTGGATTTCTTTATTTGGTGTCATGTCATTTGAGCCCCAATAAAAAACTCCAAATAATCAGGTGTAATGTCATTTGAACTCTTGATTTGGTCTCAAAATTTGATCAACATAGCATTACTCTAAAACTATTAATTGTCCATGTTTGAAGGTATTATGTTACTTGTAAAAAATGCTAAGTATTTGTTCATAAATAAATACAATGTATGATACTGATGGTGGTCGGAATTTGTGGCCCAAGCCCAACTAAGGTTGGATGGTGTTATGAAAATGGTTTTGACCTTAGTCGAAGGACTAAGGCTACATCCACTATCAACGGAGTCTCTTGCTCACTGGGATTGTCAATTCATCGATTGACAAAGTGCCTCTAGTTTCTTGGCTCGGGGTCCACTTACAAAGAATGATTATCTAAATATTTACTCTTAGCTTTCTACGTTCTTTTGCTCTCTAATGTTCCCTGACATTTCTTTTGGGGGAGAGATCCAGTCCTCTTCTTATCATTATCTATTTATACCAGCTTCTCCTAGAGCTTACGGCTGTCCTTTCTCCTGACCCCCTCCTGCCTCTTCTTCTGCCACCACGATCACTGTTCATCTGGTGTC